TTTAGAAGAGTAGGGTGGTCATTTGGGTTTAGTTTAACGGGAACTCAATAAACTAAACCAAGCCATTTATTTTGAGTTTGATAATATTTCTTCCAAACTCTATTAATTCAAATCGAATTGAAAGAGAGAAAACTCGAATCAATCTAGAGAATTCAATAAAACTTTAATAAGTTACTATTCTCTCTGTGTCATTTTACATTGTTCCAAAATAAGTGTCACATTTCCCTCTTTGAAAAGAAATATGTAGTTCACAACATTTCACTTTACTATACTCCAATCTCAACCACAATATTTAACTTTTCAACTATTTTATTAAAAATAGTGTCAAAACCGAAGGAGCAATAAAATGGAAAGGAGGTAGTAAAATATAATAAATTCAAATTAAAAGGAACCAAACTGGAAAATAGTATGATATTATGTTTTTTGTTTGATAGTAATTCTTCCAATTCATTTCCAAATGAACCAAACCGAAACCGATAAAAATCGAACCGAAAACAAATATACTCACCCCGTAAAGAGTATAAAGAACTTGTACGTTGACCAGAAAGCTAAGTGTGCCCGCGGCGGAAACTACTCGTCACTATAGACTCCGATAAAGCAAAAGAAATGAAGGGAAAATGTTTAGTGTACACCTTTTTATGTATATCATTCGTACACACTTTATATGCATAGATAGACAAAGTTCTTTGTATTTTAAACCGTGTTTTGAAACTAGCTTAATGAGCTCATACATGATATAAATCATGTACCACTGATGTTATTGTATTGGAAAGTCTCAATAATGGACACATTAACATTTTGAATGTTTCTTCATCTTGCAAGATGTTTTAAGTCACTTGCATTAACATTTTGAATGTTTCTTCATCTTGCAAGATGTTTTAAGTCACCTGCATTGATCAATAATAAAAGTACCTCAAATATAAAGTTTTATACTACATATTAATTTTCGTTATTTTGTTGATTTTGTAGGATAAAACTCTAAACCTTGATAGGTTTTTTCCCCCAAAGATCAATAAAGTGGAAGCTTAATATTACGATCACTAACTATATGACTGTCATGACTTCAATGATAATACTCATTGTGTCATAAGTTAATTGTTAGGCGGGAGATCAATAGTCTTATCTTGTTGATCAACAATACCCTTTAAACCATGTAGGCATATTAGCAGTTTTCTAACATGTTTTTTAATTGGTTATGCAGATATAAAACTCGAATGTCATATTGTCACCTATTGTGATGGAATAAAATAATTGGAGATGGGATTGTAGATTATTAAAGGACTATGATGTCAAGTCATTTGAAAGTAGAATAACATATTCAATATCGTAATGTTTTATGACATTATTAAATTTATTAGATTTGATATCAAGGATGGAGATAACATGATCATTGAGGTAACTGAATCCATTCAGGATTTGAATATCTCAAAATCAACTACATAACTAGACATAAGATTGTAATTTCTTGTAATAATGATAAGTTATTGATGTGATGTATATCATATATTTTGCTATTTTAGTGGTGCAATCCGATGATTATTGTCTTATACTAGAATGACATGAATGACATATTAATAAATTATCTCACAAAATGATTGTCAAATTCATAAAAGCTATACGAACAAATAAAGTATTTATTCACTTATAATAATATATAACAATATCATGAAGATCATTGAAACAAACTTTGGTTGTCACACCATTAAATCATCCAAAGTTGAATCTCTTTTGAGCCAGTGAGGAGCGTGCATGGTTGTGACAAATATACAAAATGAATGCTATATAAAAATGTTTACATATCATTGTGACATGTTTAACTCAAATTAAAGGAGATTATATCAAAGGTGTAGAATGAACCCTCATACAAAAACATTATCTACATATATGACTTGAAGAAATAATGAATGGGCACAACAAAGAAAATCAAATTCAACAACAATACCGCTAATTTATTTATAACTTACACAAGATTGCCATTTAAGGCCTTTGAGATAGATATTAAATTAAAGTCGGAGTATTATACACACTTTTCCCCTTCTTTCATATTTATATTCCATTAATTTCCAATGACAAGGTTTTTAATACTGTGATACATCAAAATAAAATATGATTAAAAATTGTAGATTTTTCTTAGCTCTGATTATAATAGTCCATTCTTTATGAAGAGGCAAGTAGGCAACAATCCCAACAAATGACTGTAAATAGTAAGGACAAACATTCTGTGGGAAAATTGTATTAAAAATTGCATTAAATGACTATTCTCGGGCAATATTTTGAGTGGGGTCCACTTCCGATTTGTAAGGTGTTCAATTCGATATGTGGTACACTCAAAATGAATAATGGGTAAATGAGAAATTGATTCTCGAAATTCACTTGTTGAGAGGGAGAAGTTGAAAATTTCCGAAGGTAGAACTAAACGTAGCATTACTGTCGGTTAATGGTCGTTCTAACCTCTCTTCATACTGCTAGAGTTTCAAACGTTGTCTAACGTTTAGAAATTGTAAAAAGTGATTAAAATATGATTTAATCACATGGTTAATGGCCTGAAACGTTCAAAACCATTGCAGCACATAAGTGTGTGTTTAATGGGTGGTTTCGCACAATAAGTGTGATGTTGAATGCATATTTAATACAAAGGTTCATCATCCCCTATAAAAGATTGGTAACAGCTTTTGGAGTCAGACAACGTACACACACAACAAAAGAGTACACACGACTTGAGCACACAAAATACTCGTTGCATAGTCTTGAAATAAAAACTCTGCCAAACTTCCGATAAAACTTCCCAAGTTTTACCCTTTCTTCTAGTTCGCCGGAGCAACCTATTGAGTGCTCAATACGGTTGTTCGTCGGTCATCGTATCCTGGGAAACTGACACTGCAACGCTCATAGCACCGTGGGAGGTAGTGAATTAATTTTAAGGATAGTGTGCGTTGGACACGCTTTGATTTAACCTGTTCCAGTTCTTTGATTAGTTCCTTCAACCATTTCTTAATTTTTTAAATTTCTTAATTCTTTTTAATTTGGAAAAACAAGGGAAACACAGTTTCCCTAACACATTCTAACTTGATCATCTTTAGAATAAAATAAGATAGTTATCATCACCTTTAGGCCCTATCCTGAAATTAAGTTTTATCAATTCGGGAGCTGAAAGATAGATGAAATATCAATTCGGGACCTGAGAGATGAAATGTATCAGTAAAGGACCCGGTTTTTATACACACTTTTCCCCTTCTTTCATATTTTTATTCCATTAATTTCTAATGACAAGGTTTTTAATATTGTGATGCATCAAAATAAAATATGATTAAAAATTGTAGCTTTTTTCTTAGCTCTGATTATAATAGTCCATTCTTTCTGAAGAGGCAAGTAGGCAACAATCCCAACAAATGACTGTAAATAGTAAGGACAAACATTCTGTTGGAAATTTGTATTAAAAAATTGTATCAAATGACTATTTCCGGGCAATATTTTGAGTGGGGTCCACTTCCGATTTAGGTCGGGTCAAATTGGTTTAAGACTTTCCTTATTGTAAGGTGTTCAATTCGATATGTGGTACACTCAAAATGAATAATGGGTGAAAGAGAAATTGATTCTCGAAATTCACTTGTTGAGAGGGAGAAGTTGGAAATTTCTGAAGGTAGAACTAAATGTAGCACTACCGTCGGTTAATGGTCGTTCTAACCTCTCTTCGTACTGCTAGAGTTTCAAACGTTGCCTAACGTTTAGAAACTGTAACAAGTGATTAAAATATGGTTTAATTACATGGTTAATGGCCTGAAACGTTCAAAACCGTTGCAACACATAAGTGTGTGTTTAATGGGTGGTTTCGCACAATAAGTGTGATGTTGAATGCATATTTAATACAAAGGTTCATCCTCCCCTATAAAAGATTGGCAATAGCTTTTGGAGTCAGACAACGTACACACACAACAAAAGAGTACACACGACTTGAGCACACAAAATACTCGTTGCATAGTCTTGAAAGAAAAACTCTGCCAAACTTCCGATAAAACTTCCCAAGTTTTACCCTTTGTTCTAGTTCGCCGGAGCAACCTATTGAGTGCTCAATACGGTTGTTCGCCAGTCATCGTATCCTGGGAAACTGACACTGCAACGCTCCTAGCACCGTGGGAGGTAGTGAATTAATTTTAAGGATAGTGTGCGTTGGACACGCTTTGATTGAACCTGTGCCAGTTCTTTGTCGAGTTCCTTCAACCATTTTCTTAATTTCTTAATTCGTTTTAATTTCGGAAAAACAAAGGAAATCACAGTTTCCCCAACACATTCTAACTTGATCATCTTTAGAATAAAATAAGATAGTTATCATCACCTTTAGGCCCTATCCTGAAATTATATTTTATCAATTCGGGAGCTGAAAGATAGATGAATTATCAATTCGGGACCTGAAAGATGAAATGTATCGATAAAGGACCCGGATGATGAAAAACTATCAATCTAGGACCTAACATTTCATAAGTTTTGTTTTTTTTTTTTTAATTTTTTTATTAATTCCATTGCTAATATTTCGTGAATCTTCCTTGACAAAAATTTATTAGTTTAATAAAACTAAATATTACTTAAAATTTTTAATCATTAGAGTCCTAGATTGAGAGTTTTCAACCATTAGAGTTCTAGATTGGAAGTTTTCATCATTTGGGTCCTATATCGATACATTTCATCATTCAGGTCCTGAATTGATATTTTGTCTATCTTTCAGTTCCTGGAATGATAAAATTCCTAAAGTTTTTCATCATAACAAAAATAGTTTTTTTCAAAGAATAAGAATGTTTTCTTTTGGACTGTTTTCAGTCTCAGACCAGATCAGACTAGACATTTGTAGTTATAAAATACACAAAAATCGAATATTTACCCACCAAACTAGTTCAGATCAAATCTAATCAAATCAGACCAGACTATTTGAGTAAAAAAACATGCGCACACCCATGGAGGATAATACTTTTTGTAGTTATAACTTTTTTTTTTTTCATTTGTGAAGACAACAACGCAATTAAGAAAAATACAGTCTAATCTACCTCCAACATTCAATCTGATTTTTCCTGTTTCATAACAATTTTTCATTAAATGTGCAAAAATAGCTCTTTACATGTAATTCGCCCTCAGCTAGCAGCATCTTGGACGGGAGCAAGACTTTTAGTGACAATGAAGCTCATTCTTCATCGAAGCATCATCCTCCATCCCAATCCCATCTCAGCTACAGCAAGAACGAATCGCTCATACATATCATCATCAATCCATCGTGAAGAAGCTGAAAAGAGGAAGATAGAGTTGAGAGTATGCACAAACAGGTCGTGCAGAAGACAGGGCTCTCTAGACTCCCTTCAAGTCCTTTCTGGAATCGCGCCGCCGCATGTCGCCGTCACCTCGTGCGGTTGCCTCGGAAAATGCGGCACCGGACCAAATCTCGTAGTCTTGCCCGGTGCCGTCTTTATCAAGCACTGCCACACCCCTGCTCGGGCTGCCGAAACGATGTCGTTCTTCTGCCTTGACCGGAATTATAATGACATTGAAAATGAATGTAGGAAGTGTTTGGAGGCACTAGAATTGAGGAAGGCAGCCGAGGATGAGATGGCTAAGGGTGATTTCTCCAATGCCTATCATTTACTCTCTCAGGTACATGCCATACATATCTAAAAAATAATGAATTATCTTCCTTCCTTCTTTCCTGTATTTCTTTACATTGTTTTTAGTCCTTTTGAATTGATGTACTGTGGCAGAATTTAAGCGCTACTAAAATCAATTGATGGGTAATTAATGCTTGTTTCTGTAAAGTGAAACAAAAAAACTCTATTTAGTAGTGTCATGTGTATGTGAGAAACAAGATGAGTATATGATGGAAATAGTACCGGAATTAGAATCTAGGTAAGGCAAATATATTATATTAAGAAAGCGTGGATTTTTTCTCCCAATTAAGTTTGATTATTTCTTTTGTTATTTATATGATGATAGTAGTTTAATGAGTGCATTTGGTCAAACATAGTTGGAGGTAATCATATTCGCGCAATGAGGAGGGTGTTACAATTTAGTTGCAGCATGTGAATGCATTGGCTTATTTCTCTATACGCTTAAAGGCTAGTAAAGCAACCTCCATCAAAATAGTAAATATATTCGAAATATTGAATGAGTTTTTTGTTAGCATATCCATCAATAAGAACATATAATTACAATTTGAACAATTAGAGAGATTCAAAGACCCTTTTGTGCTAGAAACGTGGTCAAACCAGTAATCTGTTGTGGACTCTTTTTGGGGTCACACTTATAAACGACGCATAAATGGTCCAAGGGCCCGAGAGTCTACATCTGGAAGTGGCTGAAGTTGGGAATAGGATATAGTTTCCTAATTCTAGTTGGTTTCCTAATTATAGTTGGTTTCCTAATTATAGTTTATTTCCTTATTCTAGTTACTTAATATGGCTGAACTGGGAAACAAGGATACTGTTTCCTAATTCTATTTTTAAGTCCTGATTCTAGTCCTGTTTCTAATTATTGTTTCTTTCCTATTTAGAACTCTAAGCAGCCTCTCTATATAAAGGGGTTTTTGCTATGGAATAAAGTACGTTTTTGGAGAATTAATTTGTGCGTCTTGACAAGGTCGGGCGCCGATTAGTTTAACAAGAATAGCTTCATTAAACTCTGCTGATTATTTTTCTCGTTCCCGATTAATATCTCGAACGCATCCGTGGACTAGGGCTAGCTCTCGCCTCCTTAACATAATCACGTCGTACATTGAAATATATGGAGTTTCTTTAATTCAATGAATCTTGTTTGCTAATCGACCAATATTGTTGGCAATCAGTTTGATCATAACTTATCCTGACATTTTACTTGATTTCATCATCAATGTATAATATCCATCTGTATTTAGTATTTTTCCAGAACCAAATTTGGACAAACTGACTTGTAATGACTCAGATGTCAATGGAGATAATCACTGTTGTTTACCTCTTTGAGTTTTTATTCAACCTTATTTTATAGTAGTATACTTTAGCCTCCGGTGTTGATCGATTGTTGTTTACCTCTTTGAGTTTTTATTCAACCTTATTTTATAGTAGTATACTTTAGCCTCCGGTGTTGATCGATTGTACTCCAATTGAGTTACAGAACATATTTATGTTAATAATCAGATTGAATAAGCTCAGAGGTTACAGTTATCTTGTGGATGCTTGAGTCAACAAACAGGAGTGGTGCAGACTGCAGAGGGTCACTGATTTGAAGTTTTATCTGTTCTGCAGGCTATTGATCTAAAACCATTTGGTGGCATCCATATCTCGTATAGAAACAGGTAGTTATTTAAATCAGCTCTTTTGCATTCAATGGTGAGATCAAGAAATAATTACCCCAAATATGACTAAAAATAGCTACTCTCCTTAAGCAAGACTAAGTAATATTGTGTATCTATTTGGTCCTCAGATAAAGAAGATTACCTTGTAGTTATTCCTAAAGTAATATGTACTCAGTCATACAATTATTGAGAAAAAAATTATTAGTTGTCATATTTTGAAGTCTATTACGTTTTGGTCATAGTTCAGGAAATTTCTCTTATTTCAAATATGCTTGCAATAAAAAATGCAAAAAATGTCATTCTCTGTAATACTACCCCCCCCCCCCCCCCCCCCAACATTGGTACAAGAGAAGGTGGTGGGATTACTAAGAAAAGTGAGTTTTTGTGGTTAATATTGAGTATTTGAGTTGATAAAGGGAGAATAAGGTAACACCGATTTAGAACCACACAAATGTTATCAAATTTGGTATGGGACAATCCTGTGGGACAGATAAAAAAGGAAAAACAGGATAATCTTAGCGGGACGGAGGGAGCAATAAGTATGGATTGTATTTGATAAATGGCTTTAACGTAAATCTCAATTCACCTTATGTTGTTAACTTGTTATTACTCTGAACAATTGTTTTTACATATTCAGGTCGGTTGCTAGGCTCGCAATGGGAGACTCAGCAGAAGCACTTTTGGATGCTAATGAGGCTCTTAGTATCGCTCCAAGTTATTCAGATGTAAGTTTCTTATTGCTACGGCTATTAAGTCACTTTAGGGTTTTCTTTTCCCCATTTGTTACTAAGAGACAGAATTAATAGGCAGCTTAGTTACTTACCTAAATTGATAACCACAGTTCTGATTTGGTCCTTTAAGTCTACACTTGATGCTATGTTTGCATTTGGATTATTGTTCATAATAAGACTAGAACATAACTGCTTTGGCTACTGTTAGGAATCTGCCTATTTAGTATTTTAATAGGGTATTTGAAAGGAGAAATAAAAGGGCTGGGGGTCAATTTAGTAATTACTTTAGCTATTTTAGTTCCTGCGTGGACTTAATGCTATAAATAGGACAGGGGGGTAGCTTAATAAAAGAGACTGATATTTTGATTATCTGTTGCCTTGTTGCCTAAGTCCCGGTTGCCTTTGTTGCCTACGGTTTATCTTCTTCCTTCAATAAACACTTGTTCCCTATCCTTTATCAGATCTGTATGTGTTTGTTTACTGTATTGCTCAGATTGTTGATAGGTACCTAACATTGGTATCAGAGCATCACCGCTCCTGGAGATCGGATTTGAAGTGCGACTACTGCAGAGTTTTCGTTTCAGGGTTAAGACCAGATCTAAAATGGAAAATCGCTTTGATGCGTGGCAACAGGAGATGAGGGCGATGATGACAAACTTCGCCACAACGATGAAGGAACAAATTCAGAGCAACATCGAAGCATCTATAGCAGCGATGATGGAACAAGTTCCCTCCAGGAGAAATTCACGATCATCGCATCGGCGGGCTTCTAACAGTTCGCAGATGCGAACTAAGTCTCCCAGTGGATCGCGAACCTCATCATCCGCCAACAGTTCACTACCAAGGCTGACACGATCGAGAGAAGAAGCTTCATGTTCGCAGATGTCATCACAAACTGCTTCATCGCAAGTGGTTTCTTCTCAGTCGCGAACAACTCCTCATAATTCATCGCCAAAATCCTCGCAAACAGCTTCGCCCAGTTCACGACCACGAACGACTTCTCCTTATTCTCACTCGCAAACTGCTTCATCGCAAGTGGTTTCTTCTCAATCGCGAACAACTCCTCATAATTCATCGCCAAAATCCTTGCAAACAGCTTCGCCCAGTTCACGACCACGGACAACTTCTCCTTATTCTCACTCGCGAACAGATTCTCTCAGTTCGCACTCGCAAACAATCTCTTCCAGTCCGACCTTGCTGTCTGAGTCGCAGGAGTCTAGCAATCCACGGAAACCTCTCTCTGAGGATGCGTCTACAGATAACTATGATGAACATAAGGAGCAGTTCACCATTGCAGCTGGACCTGAAGCTAGCGTACTGGATAATGTTTCCCCTGTTATGGCTGTTGAGACTCACTTGTTTGCTCAGTCTCCTTCTAAAGGTCTTGAGTGCACTTGGTCCAGTAGGTCTGATGGAGATGTTGGGGTCTCAATAAGTATGACTAGGAAAAGTGTGGCTCCAGTTCCTACGGGCACCCTTCCACGAGGCCAATTGATGAATGGAACATCTATGTCATCTCATTCGGCTTGGGGTGCAGTTGGTCTACTGATAAGTGGCAAGAAGACTGAAGGCATTTTCGTGAACCTGAACAGTGCATGGAAGGCTCTAGAAAATACAAATACTCTGGTGGGATCTTTGCAAGAAGAAAAGTTAATCTACGGAGAAGGGCTTCTACAAGTTAAAAGAGCTTATGAGTATACTCAGAAGTCAAAGCACTTCCCTTGGGTATGGTATCAAGTCAAGATAAACCAAGCGGCGGTGTCAACTCCTACATCTCAAGTGATGTACCTGAAAGGGACTAATGCTTCTAACCGATCAACTGAGGGGGCTGTTGAGATTCCACCAAAGTTTCAGGGTGATGCAAGTAGTCTAGAGCAAATGGGTCCATATGAAGAATCTATTCAGTGGTATGATATTGGTGGGAAGATGGATGCACGTTCATGGGAAGGGTTTCAGGTAAAGACTGGGGGTACCAAAGATAAAACCAGTGCTAGTGACTTTATGGATTTGACTGTGGTGGATGTTGAAGGACAGGGCCAAGCTCTTTTGGGTGCAGATATTGTCTTAGTCCTGAGTGCCTGGGAAAATGAAGGGGTAGGGATTGATCCACAAACTAATGCAATTGAAAGATCACTTGGTACTCACTCAGATGTCAAAGTTGGTATGGCAGTAAAGGGCTGCAAATTGGTACTCTTTGCAATGTGGGACTCATCTGGTTCTGGACTGAGATGGGCTAATGTGTTAGCTCTTGAGGGCATTGTGGAAAGCTCTTGAGGGCATTGTGGAAGAAAAATTTCATGCAATAAAGGACTCTGGACTCTGGAGCTGTTATCAAATTTAAATATCATGGTGATCCTTTTGGATTTGTTTAAGAATACCATATGGGTGGAATTAGTGTGAAACTGGGCACTACTATTCAGGCTGCTATAACTGATGTCCCAAAAATAGAGTACCTCATTGATTTCTCTTTAAAACCAGAAATTGTTAATGGCCTCGTAGTTGCCAGAAAGTTTCCGGATGGGTTGAACACTCCTTATGGATTTGATCAGCTGATCTTTCTCCAAACAGGAGAAAGATCAGCTGAAGGTACGACTAGAAGTGGCTAGCTTGCTTTGGGATCTCTTGGCTATACCCGAATTTGTAATCAATGTGGTTTTGCAACCGTTAGCCTTGGAATTTTTGAAGAGGTGGATTGATCAAAAGCAAAGTGGGGATGGTGATAGGGACAATGCAGAAATGGGTGTCCTTAAAAAGGTTATAGTTTGTTGGCTATGTGATCCCTTTAGAGATGAAACCTCTCAGATTTTTTCTATTTTTGGGGAGATACTGCTGAATTATGATGAAGATCTGGGTAACCAAGTTGCTGCGGTTCTCTATGATGTGGCAGCTGAAATTACTACAAGGGCAGCTGGACTTTATCTTGCAGAACCTTTATATGCTGATATTGGTTACAAGGAAGAGGCTTCAAGTGTAATTCCAGGGAATTTTCATTCCCAGTTTCTGCTCCTGTTTGCTGTGAAAGATGTGATGATGAAAGAGAAATAAATGAAGCTCCTAGATCAGAAACCAAGGAGGTACTGGGAAGGAAGAGGTTCCAGGATGAAGAGGAAGTTCAAGATCAAGGCTATGTCTTATTACCTGCCTTGAGGGCAAGGTGGTTATTTAGTGGGGGGGGGGTAATGTTAGGAATCTGCCTATTTAGTATTTTAATAGGGTATTTGAAAGGAGAAATAAAGGGGATGGGGGTCAATTTAGTAATTACTTTAGCTATTTTAGTCCCTGCGTGGACTTAATGCTATAAATAGGAAAGGGGGGTAGCTTAACAAAAGAGACTGATATTTTGATTATCTGTTGCCTTGTTGCCTAAGTCCTAGTTGCCTTTGTTGCCTACGGTTTATCTTCTTCCTTCAATAAACACTCTTTCCCTATCCTTTATGAGATCCGTACGTGTTTGTTTACTGTATTGCTCAGATCGTTGATAGGTACCTAACAGCTACTATGTTCTTGTTCATAAGATGCTATTTCTTTATTCATAGATTAAGAAAGTCATTAATTGAATAAACATTACTGCAAAGAGGTCATTAAAACTAAAAAGAAATATTATATTGGTGGTCATATCTAGGGAAACAGAATATGTTTCAGTCACATATAGTTAATTTTCCTGTTATGTTTCGACAGGTAGCACATAATCTATACTAATGAGTCAAATAAACATATACATACCCAATATGCCCTACTCAGAAGTAGGTTATAGGAGGGTGAGGTATACTCATATATGTATAAGGTATCCCATACATGTACTTCAAAAAGATTAACATGAGTACAAAATGCTAGGCTTTGCCAAATACTCACTGTCCAAAAATAAGCCTTATTTGAGTGAAGTACAACTCTTTACAAAACTCTCTCAACATACCGGGTTTTTTAAGAGTTGTGATAGTCATTTATACGCTTTCTAATGTATTTCCAACATTGCTAGGAATATAGTTGACTAAAAATACCACATGCTTGACTTTGAGAGTTTGCGTGATATTTTTTACCGGACATGAAATTTACTTTAAAAATCAAGTTGACTAAAAACTGTACTTTTTTGGGTGGAAACAAAATCTTGAAACAATTTTTCTTTCAAAATGGAGGGAGTATTTGTGTGTGGATTTTAAGGGGATTATTTTTAGAAAAAATTCCACTGATATTACTCCTCGAAAAGTGATTGAACAAAAATGTGATATAGTAATTATTAGTCACTATAATTGTGTTCAAAGTATAGATAATAATACTAGGTCACTTTTTGTTAGTAATACTATTCAGCGATGGTGTGATTTCATCCGACGGACCTTGTCTCCCAAGCGAAGGTGGACTGTTTGGTCGGCAATGGCGGTTGTGCGGCTCCAACTCGGAGAAGGCGACAAACTGTGGCCGCCGATAGGAATCTGCAATCTACCTCCACGTAATTAGAGGATGACCTCAACGCTGTTCGTGAGCAGTGCAGGGTAGCCTACTGCAATGGAGTGCTTCGACAGGTGATGGGGTGTGCAGTCTACTCTCCACACGGATGTGAACAGTGGCCGTACAACCTCAATCGACTGGATATATACAAGGCATGGGAGATGTTGTGTTGAAGGATATAAGACCAGTCTAACTAAACAGAGCATGAAGTGACTTGTAGGGCAGGTTGTGACTGAATTGTAGAGCAGATATTTCTTAAAATTGTGGCGGTGATGGCAGCGACGATACCAATGCTGATGGTGATGATCATAATGAAGTACCTCTCCGGAGCACCAGTTTTAGCTTTTAGATCTATTCTAGTCAGTTTTGTATAGAGATTATTGAGGTGTAGTATGTTAGTAATTTAGTTTGATGACATTTTAAATTTATTTAGCTATTCAATTAAAAAAAAACTAAAAACTCTCATTTTTACACAGTTTTAACTGAGATACACTTTTGCAGGCTTACATTTGCCAAGGTGATGCTTTCATGGCTATGGACAAGATTAATGCTGCCAGGAATTCCTATTCAGTCGCTTTAGATCTGGATCCCTCCATCCGTCATTCCAAATCATATATGGTGCGTATTTAGTTGTCTACATCGATGACTTATGTGAGGCCATTAAGCTCTCCTAATTTACATCTGATTTTATCTGGTACATCTTTGCTTTACTTTTTCTTCGATTCCAAATTCCAATGTGCACAAAATTAGAAATCCCGATCTTATTTTATGGTACAAGTCTAAAGTCTTCCAGAGATTCTTCACATTTCAAAATCCTGGAGAGCATTTGTATTTTTTTCCATTTGCTAATGTGACTTGGATACATCTAGTCCACCTGGCAACACATCTAACTAATGTTACATCAGAACAAAAAAAAAATGATCAAAAGTTATGACTTTAATTTTCTTATATTACATGTTCTCAATATTTTAATGTTATAACCATACTCCTCCAAAGACAGTACTTGGTATTGGACACTAATTCGGTTTGGTTTGATGGTGCTGTGTTTTTACACAAATGCTTGCAGTTCATTAGGATTGAGTCTTACAGACTATTCATTGTGTACTTTAGCTAACCCGAGGCACATATTTCTTTTTTAAATGCATTCCACAACAGAATGAATTATACTAATAAATTGTCAAAAGTCTGAACTTCATATTTGACTTAAATAGTAGTAATGTGCCAGATTGCCTCGATATATATTACTCTCTACATCTTTCCTTTGCGGTCCATCCCACTAAAATTATCTCATACAGTCGTACCAAATTTGGTAAATCCACGTAAATCCATTTTTTCTTAATAATCACACTAGCTCCTCATGCCCCAATGCTTTATTATTCCTATTAAATCATTGGCACCTTTTTTTATATTCAGATTCGGATTGCTAAGCTCAAGGAGATATATGCCTAATGGGTGCAACAGACCGCTCCAACATAGATTGGTACTCTTTTGAAGTACGGAACGATCGGATCAGTATATATAAGTGCTAGTGTGCTACTAAACATCACATTGTCTTCAAAAGGATTGTTTACTACTGATAGAGTATTAATTCTAGAGAGAAGTGAGAGCTAGAGAGAGAAAGTGAGTGATTATATTTCTCAAAGTGGAAAGAATCCCCCTATAATTAGCCCCTTGGGGTCTATTTATAGGTAAAAATGTGGATTTGGGCCCCTAGCCTTGGGCTTAGGAGGCCCATTACAATAACCATGCCTTCTTTGGGCAAATAAGGCCACTAATGGGCTGAGTACAACACTTAGTATATAGAATAGAAAAATACATTCTGTCCGGGCGAAGTTCGGACGATGCGGTCCATGGACGATGCGGTCCATGGACGATGCGGTCCATGGACGATGCGGTTCATGGATGATGCGGTCCATGGACGATGCGGTCCATGGATGATGCGGTCCATGGACGATGCGGTCCATGGACGACGCCGTCCAAATAGATCAGGCGATATCTTCTTTTTTGGACGCTACATGCCTCTGGCCGATGTGGGTGTCCTGCTGGTGTCTTTTTGGGCCATTGAGTGTGTGGGCTCTGGGGTCCATGCCCATATACTCTATCAGGAGTCCCCCACTCTCTGAGCTGAGGTGAAGCCGAAGCGAAAGGGAGTACTTGTTCCTTTCTGTGTAGCCGTTGCGTGAGTCTAAGGCGTTTGATGGCCGTAGAATTCCTGCTTTGATTTTGGATGAAGCGGTTCCTTTATTTGATGTAGATGAAGCGTGCTTGGGAACTCATAGCCTTGATGCGGGCTGATGCACACCCTGTGGGAGTGCCTCTGAAGACGAGGCGATGTGCTTCCTTTTGTAGATGATACGATGAATCCTTGGTGGATAATTTGGCATGCCTTCGCTGTTATCTTGTTGGAGCCGAAGAGCTCCCTTTTATCCTTTTGGCCGTAGCGAAGGCCTATTTCCCTGAGATGAAGATGCTTGATTCTGTTTATGTAGACGACGCGATGCGCACCTTTGATTCGTTATGCAGCCGAAGCGTTTTGACTTGTGAGTTTTTGTTATGGTGAGACGATGCGGTCTTCTCAGTGTACGCAGCCGTTGCGATCCTCTTGCATTGGTGGACGTAGCACTGCTAGTGAATAAGCCGATGCGCGCTGCTCTATGCTGTGTAGCTGATCTAGTGATTTTATAGCCAATCGTAATCCTTAGTATTTTAATGGCTAGCCGATGCAATCTTTTGTTATTGGCCGTTGCGTTCTCTCTTTTTGTGGCCGATACAGTCCCCCAGTCCCCCACTCCTTTGGCCGAAGAGCATCTGAGGCATAAGGGAGTAATGAGCCGATCCGGTACCTATGCGTTTAGTCGTGACTCCAACCCTTAGGCGAACCTGTCCAAGGTAACCCTGTGGGAGAACCCTTGGACGAAGGCCGCAATGCCAGGGTTATCATCGACGATGCGCGCACAAGCAGCCGTAGCGGTCTATTTAAGGTTCCTTGGGTTGTTGTGAGGACGTCGCGCTTAGGCCGATGCGTTCCCCCTTGGAGTTTTGTAGTAATTGGGCCGCAGCGGTACTCGGCCGATGCCCTGTTCTTTTTTACGGCTGAGTTGGGCCGTAGGGGTGCTTGCTTGAGTGATTTTGAATTGACGCCCCTTGATTGGTTGGAAAAGAGGTGGCCGTTGGTGGAGCCAATGGGATGGCGCCACGTGTGGTGACCGTTGGAACTTTTCTATAAATACCCCCTTATTCCGAAGCCACTTCCTCATTTGTGCCTTGCTGTTGTCGAATTGCTGCCCAAGTTTTTCTAGAGAGATAAAGTGCTTCCCAGAAATCTTCAAGTGTTCTTCGGATCTTCACCCACTCCAAGGTTAGGTTCTTGAATTGTTCTCCCTTTTTTCTTTATACTTTGCTTCCTAGGGGGTTAGATCTAGTGTTTCTAGGAAAAATCACTTTGATCCTTGAACAACCCTTAGGACGTAGCATAGTTGTTATGCCGTTCCCTGACGGCCGTAGCGTCCCCTCCCCTCTTAACTTAGCAGCTTCTTTGGACGAGTCGGACTGGCCTTTCGACGACGAGGACCCGTCTCCTGGAGTGAATCTTGAGATAGTTCGAGCGTTTGAAACAGAGATGGAGAATACTGCCGATTACCGCACTTCTCAGGACGAGGAGCGTCTGAATGATGATGCGGGTTCCCAACAATCGGGTGAGGACGAGGCGAGCTCGGAACCCAAGCTTCGGGGAGACGAAGCGGGTGATGCTGCTTCGGCCGCCATCCCCTGCCCTCCACCTATTTCCGCTGTGCCGGGTAAGGCTTCGTCGTCTGGGGCGGCGAAGAAACGCGCATCGCGTCGGCGAAGAGGGGCGTCCGGTGGGGTATCCCAGTTGGACTTGACGAATCTTTACATCATAAAGCCGGAGGGCACCCAGAGTGAGTATCAGGTGGCACAGTTGTACGTAGGGCCTTATGGAAAGGTTAGGGCACCGAAGCCGACGGACCATGTTCTGGATCCACCTCCCGGTTATTTCGGAATATATCCGATGAGCTTCTCCCAGGGTTTGAGGTTCCCCCTTCACCCATTCATCGTGGAGTATCTCAATATGATAGATCTTCCACCTGCTTTGCTAACTCCGAACAGCTATTCCCTCATCGTCGGCTTCCTCATCCGATGCGATGAGCTTGGGATCGAGCCGACCACGTCCTTGTTTACGAACTTGTACCGGATCGGACGGGGCAGCCATGAGAACTGTGCTGGATATGCGGCCCTTCAACAGCTGCCGAAGAAAAGATCTTTTACTGACCTCCCGTCGTCCATCCATGGGTGGAAGAGTAAATTTTGCTTCGTAAAATTAGCCGATGGGGTGTTCTTCCCGTCTCAAGGGCACAACGGCATATTTAATTTGCACAACCCACCAAGGAGTCCTGAGATTGATGCTCAGGTGGAGACGTTCCTGAAGGGAGGGCCACGGAGCGTCAACACATACATTACTGAATTCAAGATAGCAGCCCTAGGGATGATGCGGTACCATATTCCCGGTGACCCTGATTGCGGATTATGGCCGAAGATATCCGGCTACTTTGAGCAGGCCGACGGGCCCTACCTCGGTGTCCCAGCCGATGCCGAAGGTTGATCACTTTCTTTTGACTTGTGGTATAGTTCGTTATATTTGTTTTCTAACTCTTTTGCTTTGTCCTTTGCATCTGCAGACTTTACCATGAGCCGTAAGCTCTTCATGGCCCAGGCGAAAAAGATGGTTGCCAAAGAAATGGAAGCTGCCCAGCGGGCCGAAGCGTCCAAGGGTTCGGGCGACGGCTCGAAATCTCAGGCCGAAACGGCGAAAAAGCCAGTAGTGAAGCGGAAGAAGAAGCCCGATGAGGGCCAGCGCACTTTGGCTGAGACGGGTCTGGTGCCGGGCCAGGCTGCCAAGAAGACGAGACGAGACCCTGCTTCTGGTGGTGCTGCTGCAGTCGCTGAGCACGCGTCTGAGGTTCCGGTGATTGAAGACCTGACGCTGGACATTGCGTCATCGGCCCTTGCTCCCACTCAACCCGGCGCTGTTGCCAAGGAGAGTACCCGCACCGGCCGTGATGTGGCCGCGGGGCTGTATGAGGTGACGGTCCGGTACCCGACGAAGGGCGGGCTCTTCAATGAGAAGGTATCTGGGCATGACGTCCTGTTCCAGGCTATCCCAGATGAGGATAGGGCGTATTTACGCCGGCAAGGCAAGGAAGTGCGCCTCTTTGATGGCGGGCTGGATTTCGTCGTCCAAGTAAGTGTCTGAGTTCGTACTTGTAACATTTGCCCTCTTTTTTTTTTTCTTTGTTTTTCTGACCTTGGCTTTGTTTCTACAGGGTGCCTTCATGCTGATGGAGCAGCAGCGTCGGCAAGAAGAAGAGTTTGCTCGCCTGAGGGAGGCTGAGAAAAAGGTTGCCTCTGCTGACGAGGCGTTGGCTTCCCTGGAGCTTCTCCGATCCGAGGTCAGCTCCCTTAAGGAAATGGCCGATGCGGCTGAAGCACGAGCCGCTGCAGCTGAGGATGAGGCGAGGCGCCTCAAAGTTCAGTTGGATGAAGGAACGGCTGCCCGTCGGCTGGCGGAGGAAAAGGCCTTGCAGCTAGAGGCCGACGCGACTGCGGCTGCCGATAGAGCCATTGAGCTCTTCATGGCTGAGGGGTGGAAGGACGAGACCCGTCGCGATTGGACTTTTGACGTCGTGGCGGAGCGCTTCGAGGCGTGGTCTCAGGAGGAAGCTGGCCGAGCCCGCCTGAAGGAGGAGTTTGAAGTCTGGTACGACCTCGGCCAGAGGCGTATGCAGATGCTGGTTTACCGCCGCCTCCGCCGGCGTGTAAAGAACCTGAAGCCTAGGGGTATCGGCCTTCCGCGGATTATGAAGGACCCTGAGGAGGAGTTGAAGCTTCCTCTGTCCGAGAGGCAGCCCCCCATTTTGAGCTCAGACGAGGAGGACGGGCCCTGGACTGAGAGTGACGACTACCTCTTCCGGAGCTCGGCCAAGTCCAAGACTACTGAGGACGTCGAAGACGATGCCGATAGTGGAGCCGTTGAAGGTGGCCAAGGCCAGGAAGCTTGATGTCTTTGTACTTAATTTCTTTTTTCGTTTGTAGTAGTAATGTCAATGGCCGAAACGCCTTTTTTTTTGTAATGGCCGATGCGCCTTGTTGTGTGTAATGGCCGAAGCGCCCTCCTTTTTAATCATTAATGATAACACTTTTTGTTCAAGTATCGATGTTGTTCCTCGCTTCGTTTCCCTTTTCTCATGTTTATCGTCTGTTTTGTCGGTGTCGCGTCGTCTTAGTGACATTGCTTCGCAAGTTTTTACTTTGGCGAATTTGCCAAGTCTGGGACGATGCGTTCCATCGTTTCCTTTGTGTTGGTGTGGGGGCACCCTCGTCTTACTGGTATGTATGTGAGGACGTTGCGTGTGTTCCCTGCATCTAATGTTAGGGACGATGCGCCCCTTCGTCGGAACCAATGTGTTTAGAACATGTGTTTCAAAAATTTACCAAGTGTTGAAAATTTTTCTTGGCGCGGCGCTACGTCCCTTGCGTCTTAGGTAAGGCATGGTCCCAAAGTTTTGAAATCTTTCTAAGTGCCAAGAGTTTATCCTGTGACGTCCGTCAGCTGAGACGTAGCGACCTTTTTTCTTTGAAGACGATGCGCCTCGTCGTCCCTTGATGAATTCCATTTTTGCCTTAACATCTTTCCCGAGTTGAATTTTTGGAACTTAATCCTCAAGTGTTGAGGACGTCGCGCTTCGTCTCAAACTTGTAGTGCGACTTAGAAAATGTTCTAAGTGTCAGGCTTCCTTGATGTAGGTGTTTTGCTTTGGTTCGTCACTCGGGGTTTGCTAATTTGAGACGATGCGTCCCATCGTCCGGCTGTGGTTTTGTATGACCGAAGCCGAAGTGATTCCCTTTTGTGAAGCTATGGTTGGGGCCGAAGCGTGCACTTCGGATCCCTGTAAGGTAAAAATCTGATATGTACTTAGCCAAAATTGAGGCTTTTGTTTTTGTGGGGATTTTGTTTTATGCTCGAGGCCGGCGAGTGCACGGTCCGTCGGCTTCCCTCTTTTTTTTTTTTT